AGTAGGTTGATTGGCTGCATAGTTGCATCCTGATTGGTAGATGGAGTTGATGTTTGTAGATTGGTCAGCTGTTTCGTATCATCCTGTGTGTCTGAGGTGCTGGCTGTGTGTCTGTTGTTCTTTTGTGTTGTAACGACCTGGGTGGTGGGTGGGTTTCGTTTGTTGACTAGGGCTGGTTTCCAGATGTCTGGTAGGCGAGAGGTAGTATCATCACATTTATTCACGTTGTGGGGGGGTTTCTCTATCCAAAACGTTGCCAAGACAATCTCAATCTTACACGGGAAAAGACCCGAATACAACAAGACCAGCATACCTACACCCGTGAAAATCTACGAACACACACACACACACACACATACACACATATATATACATACACACACATATACATACATACATACATACACCCTGTTTCCCTGAAAATAAGACCTCTCCCAAAAATAAGCCCTTTCTGAAAATATTGCAACACAGCAGCAGCCATGAGTGACTATGCTCGCCACCTCCTGCACCTCAAAAACAATATGACCCCTCCCCGAAAATAAGGCCAAGTGCTTATTTCAGAGTGAACGCTGAACATGCATAATAGCAGCTGGCAAGAAATCTTAATATGAAAACAATCAGCCATGGCTGGAATTGAGCCAATTGATCAGCCACAAGAGAGTGCAGGATCTGTGTGCTTTTTAAGGTTGTGTAGGAAAGGCAATGTCAGTACCTGGGTGGTTCTTACCTTTATATAGTAGGCAAATCCTAATAAAGCCATCTTCTCTTCTATACAGCTATTAGCGAATGTGTGAGATCTACCTCCCCTTTTCTACCCAGTATGAAATATTCCCCAGGCATGGGTTGCTGGTATATACTGGATGTATTCACTATCCCTAACTTGCCTGGGTCTCTTATTGGTCAAACTCATCTCAAGATACTTTGTTGCTTAGGGCAAAGGCGATTTCTCTCCCCTCCCCCCTCCCCCGTGGCCAGGCTACTCATTCAACCAGACTGGTAGATGAATCTCATTGCAGAAAAAGGGTGGGAAAAACAGCATTTTCTGCTACACTACGGTAACAGGCCAAAGCTTCGAGGCCCAGGGAAAGCTGCACACGAGGCTCCTTTTGACAAAATTTTCTTCCGTTCCGGCCCAGGTTTTCTTCTACAGACTCTCTAGAGGCTGAGCATTTGCATTTGGTAAGTTCTCGCAGCAAAGGCTTTGTTTGTCTACGCGAATGAAAGCAACTCATAGGACGACGCAGCCTTCCTCTTCCCTTCTCCCCCACCCGGCCAAGCCGAGTCTCTTTAAAATCTGGTACACAAATCGCCATCCAAACCTCGCCCACCTTCCACTATTCTGACGTCAGGAGGGGAGGTTTCTCCATCTCTCTCCCCCCCTCCCCCCCCGCCCCGGTCCTTTAAATTCATCAGAACGGCTGCTGGTAGTTTAGGAGAGAGGAGGAAAAATCCTAATCAAAGCGGGCGAGGGAAGCGCAAAGGCGAAGCCCCGAGGAAAAGCGTCGTGTGAGGGAACCCAAACACCGCTTGGGCGAAGGTAAGGGATGGTTTCCCCGGGAGGGAGGCGAGGAGGATGTTTTTGCAAACTGCAGCTGGGGAGCGTTAAGGGGGAAAACGGGAGCTGAACAAGGGGGGAAAGATGAGCGTCTCAGAGGTGGTGGAGCTGAATGCGTGGGCTTCGTATTGAGGAGCATTGCGCGGGGATAAAACAGCCTGATGGATAAAATAGCCGAGTGAGATTTCGGGTGTGCGCGAAGGGTCGCGTTGGATCTCCACCCCCCCCACCCGTCCTACTCGTCTGTGTACGCGCTTGTGCACGTATATTATGCCTTTGAACAGCCTGCCGTTTGTCGCTGTTTCTTTGAAGCGAGGATCAGCTGGGACGCCTTTCTTGCTTCTTGTTCCGAAGGAAAAGGAGCTCTGGCCCCAAAATAAAAGCGCTAAGAGGGGTTTTCCTTAATATGTAGTAATCGGCTGTAGCCCCTCACAGGGTATACAATTTGACAGGGGAGCAAGCGGCAAAGGGCCAGGATTTGAGGGCGGTGGGGAGGGGGAGGAAGTGATGCGAAAACCGTAATTGGTTGTGTTTGCCTTAGAAAAACCATAAAGGCGGCCTGTAGGATTTGTGAAATAATTCGGTTCTCCACACCCCTTTTGGTCTTCATCGCTTTTCCCCCATCACTTGCCTCCTAATGCCTGGTTTCCTAGCACTGAGGAGGTTTCTGTATTCAGATCATAAAGATGGCATTCATCTCGCCTTAGATGAAATAGGGGTTGCAAATGTGCCTGTTTTAACTATGGCTCCTCTGTAAGGGTGCGACTGATTGTTTTGTGTAGGGGAGTGGTAGCCCTTGGAGGAAACCCAGTTTAAAAAATTGTTCACTTTTGTAAAAATGCCTTTTGTATAGAAGTTCCCTTTTTTGAAGGAGTGCCAGTCCTACTACAAATTTCTAACATGGAAGTGAAAGTAATTATGTTTTCCCTTGCATTGACCCTCTACCATTTTAGGAAAGGAATGAATAATTTAATCTATAACTGTTCAGTAGCATTGAACATATAAAGAAGGAAGTATAAGAGAACGACTTGTGACCCACAACAAAATAAAAATGTGATATTAATCACACATTTATGGTTGTTTTTTTCTTTAAGATTTATAACCATGTTTTATGGCAAGATTTTAGAACAGGCTGGAGATTAAGAGGAGAAATCTAACATATCTGAGGGACTAGATTTGGAGAGGTTGTTTTGTGGCATTAGTAAATTACACACACACACACACACACAAACACAAACTTGTGAGAGTGTATATCTGCATCTAAAATAGACCACCAAACAGTAACTGTTATAGTAAAAATAAGGTGTGCCAGTTTTAAGATTTAACATTGATTATGCCCCATACTTCTGTGGACCAAAGGTAAGTTTAGCTGATAATGCATGGAACATTATCCTGGATTGCATTTATATGTCTTTTAATTAGTTTGTTGTACTCACTCTAGCTATAGTTTAAAATGTTGATCTGTTTGAAGGAGGGGTCTTTTGTTTTTATCAAGGCAACATTATATAGCTAGATATAGTTGGGGGCCAAAAGTCTGTTTTCTAATTCATTCCTGGCACTTTAAGATAAAGATAGGGCCTTCCCCCACTTTAAGTGTGTATCTTTAGTTGATGGAGCCATTTAGTAAAAGAGGACAAGTTTGCTTGCTAGAATTACATGAATTTAAAAAAAAATCTTCATAAAATTATCAATGTTTATCTTTTTTGAAATATGTATATATAATAATTTGCTTAAAAACCAAGGATCTAACAAAAGGGCCAGACAGTGGAAACCAATTACCTCTTGGAAATCCAATTACTTTTGCCTCTAGGTGAAAGCTTCCATTTAGTATAGTATCTACATGCTTTCTGCATTGGAAGAACCAATGTATTTATTTAATTCTAGCAACTTTCCCTTGGTATTACAATGTTTAAGGTACATGGAAGAGTGATAGGATTTAAAAATTAAGAAATTGTTTTTGGTATTGGTTATGACTGTACGTACACATGCACGAAAATGCGATTGAGGGATTTATTTTATCAGCTCAAATGGTGTCAGGGATAAAGTCTACAAGGATTTTCTCATTATTGAAACAATGCTTATTCATTATAAACCTTGCTCAATAACTAATATAATTTTATAAGATTTATTATAAGAAAAATAGAGAAAAACCTTATTAAATTAGTGTTGCCTATAGTTTGACATCAAGAAATTAGACTGAAAAGTTGATGGGCCATAATCTAACTTTGGTTTTAAATTGGAACGTGAATAAAGCAGGCACAGGAAATTGAATTCTGGTCTAAAGTCAATTTACTGATTGTGTTCTGTGAATTGTGGATTCAAGGTTCTCATTCTGTGTAGCATAAATCCATATTTCTTTGGTACTGATATACAACTCAAAATAAGCCTGAACAATCAAAGGACAGGTGATCCTCAACTCTTAACCATGTTTTTAGTGATTTATAAGGCCATTGAAAAAACTTATACAACCTTTTAGAAGTAAGTACTTGAAAGAGCTATTTACACTTGAAGTGGAGTACTTTATTCTCAGAACAATATGTTTCAAATTCAAAACAATTCAACTTAAAGCATTTTGCGCATATTGTATATACATGGACAAGGTTGTTAAAGCATGGGTTGCATAAGAGACATCTTCCAACAAAGAATAGATGTTCTGTATTAAATAAATAGATCCTCTTTAAAAAAAAGTAAAAAGCAAAAAAAAAAGCCACCTGCTTCTGACGATATTATGTACACCCAACATGTTCCTTCTTTTTGGTTCTTGGATAATGAAAAAACTATATTACAACATTTAGATCCTGATGCACAAATAATGTGTAGAATTGGATACCTGTCTTGCCTTCAACAGGCAATGTAAATTGCAAATATTCATAAAGACTTTCATAACTTTGTTAATGAAAACCTTAAGAAGGTTATAGTATTTACTAGATTATCTTTGTTTGAATGTATGATGAGTAATGAATTAGAGACCTATCTCTTTGTTGGTGCTTTCTCATGCTATGATACTACTTTCTGCATCATATTCTAAGACCACAGAACACCATGAACTATGATGTAAGAAACAAACAAACAAACTCCAAACTCCAGGCTCAAGCTCAATCCCTCCAAGACTGAGTGGCTGTGGTTTCCNAAATGGGGAAGAGCAGCATTTCTTGGCTGGTGTCTCTTAACATTAACGGGTTAAAGTAAAATATTGAATTTAAGAGGCCTACATAGGGGAAATGCAGTGTTCTGTCAAGTCTAGTACAGTACCTGGGTCCTTGTATATTTTGGATTCAATATTTGGTAAGATTTGCTAAACGATCAAATGAGGGAATAAATCATGGCATTTTAAATTCAGAAACTAAATGTTCTCACATTTTTGTGGTAAATGTTTTAGAGGATAGCAGATGTCTAAAAACCATCACAGTTAATGATGACTTAACAAAATGCATTACTTATGATAGGAAGTCCATATATATATATATATATATTTCTCCAATTTCTCCAACAGCCCCTGAAATGCATCATTAAACATCCTAATGGGAGCCAAGAAACAATAATACTGAACCACACCTTCAATGAGACTCAGATTGAGTGGTTTAAAGCTGGTAGTGCACTCAACAGAATGAAAGAGCTAAAGCAGCACTGAATCTACGCACATAATGTATCCAGTGGACTTGATGAGTAATGTCCATTAAAGTGCAATTCCACAACAATTCTTGAGAATAAATGTATGTGATCAAATGTAACTTTAGCTTCCTATTCATTTCAACTCACTTGCATACACCAATAAAAGTATTTTCTTTCTTTCTTTTTCCCATTAAACAGTTCTATCTTTCATAACTACCTGTTTTCATGCATTTTGGTTGTCTAATATTGCTTCATATTTATTTTTCAATTATTTTCTTGCCCAGTAATTTCAGTGATGACAAAAGAATGAAAAATTAGAAGATTATTTCTCTTGTGGAAAATAAAATTGTAACTGACATACCTGGTTGTTGAGTGTTCCTAGTAGCATTTTGTTCAAGTTTGTGAGGAATGGAGCATGAGTGTGCTAAAATTGAGAGTGGGTTGTTTGAAAACTTGGCAAGTACTATAAAATAATATGTATGCACCTGGAATCATGAAAATTTTAATTTTGATTACAACTTTATTTGTCTTAAAGAGTTTCAGTAAAACATCCTGATCTATGGATAATTTCTGCTGCAATATGAAACTGACAGCATATTGGTATATCCATATATCAAGTAGATCTATTCCCATTTGACAGAAATTTTTACCTGTGGCTCAGCTCTAAATGTCTCACTTCTCTTCTTTTATAATGTTCCTACCCATCCCATCTCTATGTTTCATTTTTAAAAGAAGCGGGAAAAATTGAAAATAATTTTAGTTGTTAAGTTATGCTGCTTTTTATGACACAACCTGGAATTCATTAATTATATATTTTAAATATAGCTCAGTTGTGGTTATTGTAGTTTTCTGTTTTCTACTGAGAAATAGATTAGTGGAGAAAAAGATGTCTTAGTGATGCTATGAGCTTGCCACCACTCACTGCTTCCTGATTGTGTTTAAGTTACTGTTTTAAAAACATAGTGTGAAATGATTTCATATTAAAACATTTTCATGTAATGGTATTCCCTTGCTGTCTTTGAGATATATCGTATTTCAATTCCCATCACATTCAGCCAGGATGATCAAGAACTGTCTTCATAGTGGATGATAGAAATTATCAATCAAATATAAACAGATTATCAGATGATTGGTTTATAGCCAGAACTCTATAAATTACTTCCAAAATATCAATGGCATTGATTCAGAGTTCAGCTGCTTTTTGTATCATCTATTTTCAATACAACAAATATTAATGTTTTGGGATTGTTCTGGAATGACCTATACTTTCACAGAATAGTTTGACAGCATTTTTTAATTCAATCTGCATGTCTCAGTTGTCAGCACCTTCCTATTTTTACATCAACCTAAGAGTTTTCAGAAAATATTTC